ATCTTACTATAAAAATTTGTGATTAGTCGTTGTCTTCAACCAATTTGTCGTCAAAAAATGACGTCATCAACAATGCCAACAGATATTTGTTTACACGGCATTGTTGTGTTCCACAACAATGCCGAGTAAACAAATATCTGTTGGCATTGTTGATGACGTCATTTTTTGACGACAAATTGGTTGAAGACAACGACTAATCACAAATTTTTATAGTAAGATAAGAAAGATTAGTGGTGGTGGTAAAAGAAGATGCTTATATGAGTTTTCTCCACCAAAACTGTGAACTCATTTCTCGTCACCCCAACCAAGCCAAACGCCCAGCCCATCGTAACCTAACCTACATTTAAGTGTCCTAAGAGCAGGTCTAATAGCTGACCAGTATAAATCATGAGGTTCCTTGTTGTCGTTTCCTTTATATCTTAGAAGTCTGAATGCATTCGCGTCACATTGTTTTAAAACGCTTCTAGTTTGGGTTATTTCTTCTAAGCAATGCCCACATTTTACAATCTCACAGTTGGTAAACTCGTTGAGTAGAGAAATGACGAAAAAATCCCAACTAACTTTATCTTACACGTCACATCATGCTACTGCCCGACCTCAAACCCTGTTCCACTTGATGAGAGATCCTTATTTTCTGTTCTCTTGGACACAAAGGACCCAGTTGCATGGAAGTAACATAAATGAATACCTAAGATAAAACAAGACGACAGAGCATTCTGCTGTTATGGGTATACCAGTAGAGTGGTTGTTGATGAACGTTTACTAAACAGAATTTTATATAAGAAACCGGAGGGCACGAGAAAATAAGGAAGGGCAAGAACAAGGCGATAGGTATGAATACTCTTTGTGAGACAATGATCATTTAGAAGCGGGATCTAGGTTAGGTTAGGTTAGGTTTATGTGACGTGTGAGACAGAAGTCGGCGGCAAATGATAAGAACAAGAGATACAAAAAGACAACAGTAAAAGGAAGGTGAGACTGAGAAAGCTAAGAATTCTAGAGGGCAACAGATTAGTAGCAGAAGAATAGGCTCTGATGACGAAGAGTGGTAATGAAAGGGAATAAGGCAGCAAGTTGTATTTGGGATCAAAAAGTCCGTAAAAGGCAGAAAACAAAATGTGATCGAGAAATATGATAAAGAGAATATATTTTATATCAAAAGGAGAGTAATCAGAGAAATTAAAATTGGTACACATCGAAGTAAAAAAAGAAGAAACAACAGTAGAGGAGAAAACAAATTATCATTTTGAAGATAAGTTCATCTGATCGGACCACGTGGAAGTCGTGGGCGTATGTGGGAGGTTGCTGTGTTATTTTCTAACGGCAGTTTATCAGCAGTATAGGTCATACAGAGCGTAAAATGGGAATAAGATTTGAGAAAGATGTAGGATAAAGTGGGCCTGGTCTATTCAAGATACTACATTGGCTTTTGCCCTGACAGACTGAGGCAAACCGCGACATAGTCGACTCCAGGCCGACATTTTACACCTGAACTTGTGGAATACGAAGCAGAAGTATATGGACATAATACCAAGAACACGAAAATAAGAATTTTATAATACCTACAATATAATTATTCACTAATTAAAATACGTCTACAATAATTTTCTTAATTAAAGGTAATCACTCCGCAAAAGTAACACACACCCACGCACACGTTCTCACAAAGTATGTACTTCTCTTTATTTCACTGCATTATATTTTACGTCTTGCGATATTCATCTGTTTATTCACGCCACTTTGTCAGTCCGATATAAGCTAAGAGGAAACACTAGCGCCATGACACAACACGAAAAATACTTTAAGGACCGGTACCATAAATCTTCATTAGAAAGCTGAATGAAATTCTAAAAGCCAGCTGAAGCGAAGCTATTGCATTTCCTCCCTTAAGCAAAGCAGCAGAGTGGGTGTGGACGATTTTAAGTGGCTTTTAAATCTAATTGTTGTCGTATCCGAATGTGACACGGGCGGATACAAATGTAACGTGCGACATATGAAAGCCACATTTCTCTGGTGCCATGAAAACTGCCACTTATGATCTCCATGCAGATAAAAAGAGCTCCCTGAAACATTCTGACTGAAATGCGTGTCTGTTAAGGAAACAAACAGAATCTTCAGTTTATATCCTTAATTCTTCCTTCTTTAACTTCTCTTATTTTTTGTGTTTCCTTATTTCTGTCTTTCTTTTTGAGCTGGTGACGCTCTATAGTAAAATTCGAGAAACCACCTGATCGAATATCGATTAGCTTCCCAAATATTCATAAGAACATTTTGTATATTTCCTCCATTCCTCCATTTTAACCACTTTAGATAATAGTGTAGATGTTTTATTACTGATTTATTTAACAACGCCCCATCGACTGCGTTTGTTATTTGCCTTCGAATGGCATACGACGTGACTGTAAATATTGAATCTAGTGGGCCGATGCCTTTCTTAAAGGAAAATTTCAAAGGTTTTTCGTCATCTCCGAATCATTTACATTATCTTTGTGGCTTTTGAGAAACAGAATTTATATTTTACAGAAGACAGACTGAGCCAGGGGAGCTCATTCAGTAAAGGGGTGACTCTGAGCTGGATGACCGTGGTTTGACTCTCGGCAGACAATAATATTATTTTACGACAGCGTCCACATCGATATTATGGCCACCCCAGCATCCTATCAAATCGATGTCCGTAATTTTAAACTAACCTCTAATATTACAATTTTTATAAATAAAACCCCTTTGCTCAATGTTCCCATCTCTGCGCTGGTTACTAAGAGACAAAACCTGTTTTAAGGTGCAAAAAGTGATTATGTCCACAGTTGAACTTTCCGATTGGCTTGAGAGTGTGTAAGTGATCTATTTCAAAAGCTGTAGCGTCGTTTGGCTACCGTTTAGTTCATAAAATAAACACTATGCTACACCACTGTGACAAGTAACAGAAAAGTTACGTGATTCATACCCTTCATTTATATTTTCGATAGTCCGTATTATTTTTTTGTTGGTCAGTGTGTTCATAATGCCGTAATAACTTAAAAAATTTATTATTTCAGTACGCCTACCGTGAATTTTAAGAAAACCGCAGCAAATAACGGATAATTTCACTACTAGAGTATACTCATAAAGTCTGCGTAAAATACAGCCAAAGGTAAGTTTAATATCAGCAGTTATCTTTACTAAGAATCGTACTTGGTAAGTTGTAAAATGTAATTTTGTACGGAATTAAAATGTAGTAACTACTTACGGAGAAATTTCGTAACTACATAGTTATTAGCCCATAAGAAACCTCGTTACTACACAGTTATTAATGTTTAATTACGAGCATCTGTTATTTAATAAAATAAAAGTTGAGGTGCTAGAAAGTAACCTCATGACTTCGTTAAACTGTTTTACCCCGAGTCATTACGCGTCATTCATCCGTACGTTTTATTATAGGCCTATATATGTTTTAACTATGGCGCCGTAATTGTGTTTATGAAAAACCCATCTCAAAGGACCTGAGTCATTATGGACTTAGTTTAGGTCTCTTCTAATAGCTCTATAGAATTTACTGACCTATTACTAACGGGAATTTCTGCCCGTGAACTGCCACATAATAAACAATATGGAGACAGGTTAGTGTGCTTTAAAAATATATACGAAAGTCGATAAAAGGCAGGCTGCAAGAAGACACTATTACAGGGTGATCTTACAAACCGTCACTCTAATAAAGACAAGTATAATTCGACCGGTTAGAACTGAGAGAATATAAGCATACAAAATTCCTCACATGCGATGTAGAGCGAGGCTAAAAGCCCCAGTGTAGATTTTAGAATTATTTCGTATCACGGAGACGTTAAATACGGATGGCATGAGGGTCATATACTTGTGTGTCTTTTATTTCGTCAGTTTAACACTTAGAAAAATATCCCAGATATTCTTGCATTGTAGCCATTTACGTTCGTTCCATAACGACGATTAAAGAGTTACATTTTTCCATTTCTATAGAACTTGGAGTGAACACGTGAGATACAACACAGTGTACAATTATGGAATGACAGTAATCAGTACAGAAATCTGTTGACCATCTATTAATCTTAGTAATATGTAATATAATTCAGTATGAAACTCTATGGACGCCTTATTTTAAAAAAAAATATGACTTCGCTGTCGATATTAATTACACACGTGCATACTGACAATGCAAATAAGGACAATAAATTTTCGAGTTCTACGTTAAATCATAGAAATAAAAAATATCTAAAAATGCTGTGTTTCCAGCCCTTGTCCTGAGACAATTATTTTTATTTATATCTTTAATAGTACCATTACTGTTACTTTGAGATATATATCAGATTACTCTTCCTGATTTAAGCATGCAAATACCCTGAACATCATATAACTTACCTGTCAGTCTCCAGCACATCCCAAGAATTGAAGCACCAGATGCTGAAGCTGTAAGTGACTTATTATCTCTATTTCAGATTTTTCAGTCTGCCAGATGCCATAGTTACGTCACTTAGAAACAGCTACATATTTCTGAAAAAATCAAACAAAAAGACTGTTCAGTTTTATAAAATTATTTCACTGGCTGAATAGGTAAGTGAGAAGCGTAAAGTTTGGAGAATCTGCAGCATACTAATTACCAATTTTAAACTAGCGGCATGTAGATTATATTCATCATCATCAATAGTGATACAACTCTTGGCTTTCTTATATAGGTTATATTAAAATCTGCTGACAATTACTTCATAGAAAAGCGGGTTGATCAAATTTGCCTACAAAAATTTAAATTTAACTTGGCTTTAAATGTACATTACGTTTACGTTGTCATGTTCGGAACAACGATAGCGCAGAGCCAACGCTCCTTGTAACGTATCGGTATTGATTTACATCACTTAAGACCACATGCTTGTTTAACTAATAAGGAGATTAACAGGTAAGACCCAGCGAATAAATCTTATGCTAAAGAGAAGTGTTCATTCTAGACCCAGCGAATAAGTCTTATGCTAAAGAGAAGTGTTCATTCTTTTACACTGCATGAAGTGTACTGGCAAGCTTATGTAAATGATACGGATAGTAATGCTTGCATGATGTGTATAATACGGCATATTTGTTTGTTTCAGCGGGGTTCATTAATAAGTTGAAATCTGCAAGGAACATATGTGTGTATTCCGGTACATATTTCAAGTCTTGCAAATTTACATTATTCCGTACGCAGATGTACCAAGGAAAATCTAAAAACATCCGATACATCACACAATCCTCGTACCTCAAACACAACGTCTGACGCTGACTTTGTCAATAAAGATAGTGTCTTCGGAAAACAAATAATTCGTTAAGGGATGTTGCTCTGTTACGAGTATACCCTTATCTTCACTCCTTTAACCGAAGTAAAGAAAAAAATGCAATTATGACAAACTCGCCACTAGCCCTCATCACTTTTTCCCATGTACAGAATCTGCACCCGGGCCCAGACAACAGCGCTGTCACCACCCTTCAATAAAACAGAATTAAAGGGTTTTGAATTTTAATCATACTTATTCAGCCAGCCTTCCATATTTGCTTCCCCACAGCCACTCACTCACCCTTTTCCTTCTCGCACAAATACTTAATCTTTTTGCAGTTCTTAATGGCTTTTTCTTACAGACCTATTCAAATTTTGTATTAAAGATTACCATATAAATTGAATTCCTTCAGAGCTATGTTAACGACTCATATATATTATAAAATGCCCTGTCTTATGAAGAATTTAGGTTTGTACTCTCTTATACTGTGTAGTTAAACAGTGTGAAAATAAAGTAAGGCTTTAACTGCTTTAAACTTTACTTTAGGGGACCGAAAACATTACAGCTCAGTAGTTATTTTATCCACACCAACAGAGCGATGGTGACTTTTTTAAGTAAAACCGTCATGTAAAGGAGTAAACAGCAGATACCCATATAGAGTATTTAAAAAACGTGCTGAAAGCTTAGTCCAAACTGAGTAGGCCGAAAGACTTTTTTCCCCCCAGAAGTTTTCTTTCTGACTTTGCATACGGCTCGTCATTGGTATTTACGTTTATTGCAAAGCTAGTCGTAGGTGGGACGTAGTATTAAACTGATTCAATTTATTTCATTTTTTGTGCCCGACAAAAGTCAAATCAATCCAATCACAACCAAGCACTCAAACACCAAAACTAAAAAGTTAGAAATCACGTGAAAAATCAAGAAATAACATTGCAAAACAAGGCAGATGCATACCACATTAACAATATGTAAACGTTTTGCCAAAAACGTCAAAAATCGATATGTCAGTTTTAGCAATGACGTAACTAGAGAAAGGACTATGTTTTAATGCACTGCACACGTTAAAAAAATATTTGCCTTGGAGGCACATGAATACCAATAGAATATCAATCATGTCATGATAATGATACTAATAATAACCACAGTTCTGAGAACATAATCCTCTGTCCAACG